AAAATACCGTTTGCCTGAGCCACTTTTACTATGGAACGTGAATGCTTGACTACGATGACTATGCATTTCCATTCTCGCAGAGTTTGGGATATCACTAATCAGCAATCATTCATTTCAGAAAGTGTACACAAGCAAGCATGTCTTGACTCTGTCTTTCAAGGTCACGCGCGGTTGCGTGATGTTGATGCATGAAAACGGCGTTTGCCGCGAAAGTTATGAATGGCCCACTCCAATTTTTTCACAGATGGTTAGGAACATTGTGACGGACATAATATGTAAAAATTACCCAAATCGAAGGTGACGTGTTTTTTGCTATTTAAATTTTTCTGTTTTAATTTAAGGTCAAATGCATTTCAAGGTCACTTCAATTTAATTTTATAATTAAAAATCAAAGCCTTATCAATTGCCTATAAGACCCTGTTAATATCATTTTGATACCAGAAAAGGAACCAGAGTTATAGCCATTTAAAAAATTGATATGTGGCATTTTTCGCTATATTCGATGACCTATATCTCAGCGATACGTTATCAAATTTCGAAAATATTATACGTAACTCAGTTTTGAACCATGCCCAGTCTGCCTACAAATTTTCAGAAAAATCGAAGGGGATGACGGATTTCGGTGTTTGATTTGACGTGGAATGCCCCCACTATATCCTTGGCCAATGCGCGAATTATGCCCCTCTATGGAAGTAGTTTCTGCCTGCTATTAGTCGACGGCAAGGTTGCAAATGTCCGCGCGAAGGCCAGCGTTGTGTAAAACAACGCGGAAGCAACGCGTCCCGCTGCGTGTCCAGCACAGTCAGAGGTCACTCTCGCTGTTGTTCATCCTGTTGTTTTCTCATTGTCGTGATGACTGCATGTTCACGCTCTCGCGTTGCCCACTTCCAATGATTACCTCCATGCACGCGAGGACACTCATGTGTAGCTCGGGCGTGCATGGCATGTGCCTAGTGACCCTGCCCCCCTCGGACGCCCGAGGCTACACCCCCCCCCCTCGCCCGCCAGCTCGGTAGCCAATCAGAAGCAGTCTCACGCCACTGAGCCCGGCGAATATTGGGTAATTGTCGGTGGAAAGTAGGCCAATGCTGTCGGGTGGGCCGGCGCGGCGGGCGGCAGTCGACGAGAAGTCAGTTCGTCGGTGGCGACGCTGGGGGAAGGAGGTTCGGAGACGACGGAGGAGGCTTGAAGACGACGGAGAAGGCGACAGAAGACGAAGACGTTAGTGACAAGGTGGAGCATCTGTGAGGAGTTTGTGAAGAGAATTGATCCAAGGAAACTTTGGCACGCTTAGGTGAGAGGAAAGCACTGCTGGAGAGATTTGACGTTTAGTTTAAATAATTTTCACGATATCAACTTCATCTCTACTTCCTGATAGTGTCAATGCTTACCTAGCAGCTCAACTGATCAAGCTGAGGCAGCTCTGGCAGCCCCATCTCGAGCTTCTGGAGCTGTGAAACTACCTCGAACCCTTCCGAGCCCCACCGACACATTGTCGCCGGGCCTGGAGTCCTGCCGAGACGTTGTTTTGTCCCGGGCACGGCTCGAGTTCAGTGGCGATCGTCTGGCTCCCTGTGACGTCATTTCGTACCCGTTGCCTGATCAGCGGCGTCGTTACTGAATACTTCCTGATGGTCCCAGATACTGGATCTCCTGACAGCCCAATGTCGTGCCTCCTGAGGCACAGCGTCATAGCTTGAGATACAGGCGCGGCCTACTGCGCACCTTCCGAGAACTTTGGATGAGTCTCGGCTCGGTTTTGGCTGCTGACGTGGCAGCTGGTTCTGCGTATTGGTCGAACTTCTCCAAGTAGTCCAGGTAGGATCTGCTGGGTTATCCAGATGAAGTGAGTTTGCCGGCGGCTGACGAGCGAACGTGTAATGCGTCACGCATTTTGTGCACGACGGTTTGCACAGTGCACTGGCGTTGTTTGCACACGCTGCACGCGCTCAGTGCATGCATGCACGGTGTATGTTCACTGCGGTGCAGAGAGACCTGACAAGGTAGATTGAGGTGACCGGATGGATTTGGGACGGCCAGACTTCCCTGACGCAGTTTCTATCGTTTCACCGTTTAGGTCTACCGCAGTGGTGGCCACTGTGAGAATACAAGACACCGCTCAGTCTACTTGTGCAGCCAGCCGAAACGCCGCAGAAGAAAAAAAAAAACGTCACATTTACTCTAGGTCTAGACATCATTGAAGCCACGTTGGCCGAATCATTATCTATCGAAGGTGGAATATTGCGCATTAGGTAACCGTCTTATCACCAGCATGCCTCGACGGGGATGCAGTTTCAGTATAAGCCATATGTTATGTGGGATTAGATGGGTGATTTATTCTCCGTTGCAGGTGGCTGAGTCCGTTATTGATGATTTTGCAGCCAATCGGACAGGCGGGACGAAGTGCGGTTGGCTGCCGGTTGACTGGCGGGAAGGACAGTGACATTTAGCGGTGGTGGTTGACGGCATCCGCCTGGGAACAGCCCTCCTAAGGTGCGACTTCCGATCGGATACTGGGTTGTGTTGCTTCGTCATTAGTTCCTGCGTATTGTTCGTAAATTCTTCGTAAGCAAAGCTCCGGAGAAGTACAGTCACTAATGCAAACTGTTGGGTTGGTTAAACTGTCTTGGAATTTCCCAATCGAAGAGGGAAAGGTAGGGGAAGTTTGTAACAGGCGGCATTGAGAACCCGTGCTTGATTCTCTGAACCTCCCCGCTGAAAGTGGCCGCACTGGCCGGGCCAGACGGACAAAATCGAACTCGCTCCCCGCCGAAAATAACCGGTCCTGTTTCGCCGGCGTCTTACCGACGCTCGCGCGTCCGATTTTTTCCCTCCACCGGCCTCCGACCCTGGAGAGATAACATCTCTGACCGCCGCACTGAAGAGGCGTCTTCAAGGCTATCGGCGAGCAGTGACCGCCCCCGGGTGCTGACCTCTGGTGACCCACCACCGGCATCCCGTACCACCGGTAGCACCGGTTTACCCCCTCTCCCGCCCCTCTCCCTCCCTCCTGCACCCCTCCCAGCTCCTCCCCAACACCTTACTTCAGCCGGTAGTGGAGTGGAAGAGATTTCCAATGACGCGGGGGATTTTTTTTTCTTCTGATTATCATTAGTTTAAGAACAGCACCGTAGGGTGAGATGACGTGTCCACACCGAGCGCCACAGAACGTCCCAAGTGCGCTGGCACTGTCTCATCGGTTCATCCCTCGCGACCATGGCCTCCAGCGGTGACGGCGACGGTGAAGGGACCCTCCTTCATCCATAGGTGGTTGACCCGGCCCTGAACTGAGCGCTACGCGCCCCTGTCCGGGAGAGATGACCTCAGGAGATGACATTTACCTACCGACCACAACCACGGAAATTCCGTCAGCAGTGGGCACAGACACTGAGGTCGGGAGGTAGCTGATGACCTCTCAACCTCGCTGGCACCCCAGCGCTGCCTTCCTCTGCTTCAGAGAGGGGAATGAGTTGGGTATGCGTGTCCCCAAGGACTTGATTGCATGGCTGAAGCGAGTCTTCTAGCGAGGATTTGTTTTGACAATTGTGCTGAGACACTCTCATTGACGTTTTGAGACATGCTGTCGCTGAGACATGCCCTGCGAGTATGACTCCCTGAGACCTTCTGAGACATCTGAGACACACCCTCGCTGAGACAGTGAGACAAGCCCGCCCCTCGCGAGTTCACACGGTGATAGTGCCGGCCGGCGGCCCAACGACCCATTGTAATCGGATGCCCATCGGCACTTTATGGGTGAGCCCGTCTAGACCGACCGGTCCTGGCGGCAGTTGAACTGCGACGCCAGCCAACAGCAGCGAAGGGTGTCTGTAGTCTACACCGTCACCGTCTGACACTTAGTTGGTAAACTTTGAATAGCATTGGATGTTAGGAAGTGTCTAGATGGACACGGTGGTTTCCGTCTATCTGTAGATTGATTGGAATAACGCGAGATTTCTTGAAGCTCATGGAGACTTGAAATAACTTACGATAATACCTACTTGGCCGGGATGGTGGGATAACACAACGCACACACTCACCACGTACACAAATGCCAGACAGCTTGCATAACCCATTATACAGCACACACAGACATACATACAGCCAGCCACGGCTGAGTGGTCCCCACGGCTGCCGTTCAGGGTCAGCTGTGCCGTCCGTCCGGGCCTCCGGTGACCTCCAGTGGAGCCGCGCCCCTCGATCAGCGCAGCCACCTGGTGTGGTGCCTTACCATCAGCTGCGCCAGGTGGTGCAGGAATGGGTGGTGACTACTGGTGATTGGTGACAGTTGGAGAGGTGGATGGGGAGGTTTGAACAGCAGCGAAGCGTGTAGACATCCACCTTCTGTTGTCCGCTGTCTGGTGTTCCGTGGTTTGCCGGTGCCAGTAGCACCCCACCGAGTTTTTTGCCGGTCACGTGGTGCCGCCGCAGCGCTCCGGACGTGCCGTGTGACCGGTCACGTGACGGGCGGGAGCATTGACCCCCTCCTCTAGCCGCGCTGTAACGGGGACGCTGCGCTTGCGGCAGTGGTGGCCGTCTCATGACCCTCACACCCTCGCCGCCCCACCGCCGCGCCGTTGTAGACCACTATCATACCTAACGCATCGTACCGCACGCCCCTCGTTATCGTAACGCAGCGTTGCGTGCCGCCACCAAAGGTCATGGCCCCGGGGTGGCTGGGAACAGACCGGAAAGCCGGCGAACTATGCGTCTGGGGCAGTGGAGAGGTCAGCGCCCTGCCGTCGGACCGGTGACTCGTCGGTACTGGGAAAGTTCACGGTCTAAACTGGCACGTTGCGGTAGTGGGTAGGTTGGAATGGCTGGATGAGTGAACTATGGTTAGTGCAGGCTTCTAGGATGCGTCAGATAATGCACGTAGGTAACTGTGGTGAATTGGATTATATACTCGTCATTCTTTGATGCGTCATTGGGTACTCCGATACGTCTATGAGTTGGCTCGTTTTATCGTCGATCAGGCAATGACTGAATGCGTTCTTCCCCAGGTGTTTCTTCACGAAGGTGCCGTGCACCTCCTGCCTCTCAACTTTCCCGACGAGACTTCTGACGGCTTACCAGTTACCATGGCAGCAGTGGACGCCGTACGCGACGCTAGCGCCGCCACACGGGCGGACGACAAACTACAGAGTTGCATCCAACAAAAGATCGACGGGTGAGTGAGATTGTCAGGGATTTTCACGCAAGGAGATCACGCAAACAAGATAGCGAGAAACTAGCGTTGGATTTCTGAACCTTAGCCAAGCAGTTATAACAGAGATGGCTTCACACACGAATTATGGCACGAACACATCGTCGCCTCGTTTCCAATCCCTTTCCCAAGACGGCGCCCGCCGCTTGCTTAGCTCATCTGTTGCCATCTCAAACACTCTAAAGCCCTCGCCTTGACTGGGTGGGGCTTCACTCGAGCGTTTATCATAATCTCCTCAAGCTCACTGGGGCTGAAACCGAAACCAGGTGGGCTAGAGTGGCGACTAGCCTGTAAGAAGGCGACCAGCACCGATTTAACGTGGATTTTCAGTCTGATCCTCGCTAAGAGTAGTGTTTGTGCCGACTTTGCCCAGGGCCAGTTGCTGCGACTCGACACACCCAGTTTCGAGTGAAGTGAGGATTGTTTTCTGGCGTAGTGGAGGTTGCTGAGAAATGGGTCTCGTTTTGGTACGATAAGCGGGTTACTTAGCGCTGAGAACTTGGCAAAGTCGGTCTGGAATGAATCATGTATTAGAGGGTGGTTTAATCAATCGCATTTAGCGCGATGTGGTGTGGGAACCGAAGCTGAACTGAATCATCCTTGTGGTCGACGTGCACTCAGTCATTCTCAGGCTATGATTCAGCTTCTTTTATCACCAAATTCAACTGCCATAGACTAATGATTCAACTTTCTTATCAAATTTACCGCAAAATGAATCATTTATAGTATAAGAACCAATCGACCAACATATATATCAAAGCTGTCGAATACATGAAACGTCAAGTACCACTTAGGGCGATATTTACTGAGTATTACCTATTTAGGTTGTATCAACTCTCGCCTGTTGCACTTGACAATCTTCACGTCTCTATATCTAACCGTCTAACATCTATCTGTCTCTCCGCAGATACCCAGGCAAGATCACGGAGTCCCATCACCGTGCCACGGTTCGTACTCCAGCAGCCGCCGCGGCTCTCCTGGCAGCCTGTCCCCAGCTGCTCCCGGCCGCCGTGCAGGCGTTCTACCTTCGCGACCCCATCGACCTCCGCGCCTGCCGCGCCATGCGCTTCTTCCCTCCGGAGACGTGTGTCAACGCGAGTGTCGTCTTCACGAAGACGCTGTACGCGCAGTTGGTGCACCAGCAGTTCCGGCCCGATGTGAGGACGGGGTGGCAGCTGCCGGCGCCAGCTGCGGCCGAGTTTCGCGCGGCCGATGTCGGCATGAAGCTGGTGAGTGACCTGCCTGACATCTGGTGGGAGGGAGGGGAAGCTTTGGTTCAAGTTTCTCCACTAGAGCTTCTGCTAGGAATAGTGATATTGTGCATACGTCTATTATTGCTGTTTTCTTTTGGTATTCCTGAAAAAGCATTCAATGAAAGTCTCGTACTTTTCCAATTTCAGTCACTAGTTCAGTGACCAGAAGCTTAAACTAAAGAAACGTACTTCTATTTAAACCAAACCAAAACCAGGCGTTCCACGGTAATATCTCGACGCTCGCATTTACTCCCCTTTCAACGATCATAACCAAACCGTTCTCTGTTCCCTCAGGCGTGTGGACTAGAGATCCTGGCGTCTCGCGCCGGCTCTCAGTCTCATGCCGCCGAGGCCGATCCCACACTGGATGAGCTGCGGGACGACGTACGCTGGCAGAGATACCTCAGCTCTCTGCACCAGAAACGCTACTTTGGGGTGAGTTTTCAGATGGTGTTATTTCGCCGTTTTCTAGTCCGATTTAGTATGGGGATAGGGGATGCGGAGTCATAAAGCATCTCCTTAGGCGAATAAGATAATTGAGTCCGTTGAATACCTGTCAAAATTATCAAAACATTTGATTATTCGTACGGTAATATTTTTTGCGATAAGCTGGCATTAAGCCTTTACCCACGTCTCGTTGGATGAGGCCTCTCCGTATAAGGGCACAGGGGCCCCTTGACTTTCTGAAAAACAAACATTTCCTCGTATTAGCCGGTGGGAAAGTCCGAGTCTTTCTGCAACGAGTGATTAATTGTCTGATGTTGATGGGGCCGCGAGGTTGAAACCGTCTGAAACTCCACTGTGTAAATGTTTGCGGTTAATTTCGCTGCTGAAATGACGCGGCTCTGGGTAGATTTTTTGACGGCCCGACCGCGGACCGGTTTGGATGCCCGTGAACTCCGTCAAAGTCACCGATACCTGGGGGCGAGTGTTACGTAAATACGCCTTCTGCACCGGCCACCACTCAGGCTTAGTGGCTGAGATGGTTTGTTAGCTGTCAACTCTGCTATGGCGGCAGCTGCTCAAACCTGTCTCGGAATACCAATTGAAAACTCAGCCACCTGTGTCATATGCAGCCTCTGTCTCTTGATTATATCACAATGAACTAACAACCCTCTCTTCCTTCCTCAGGATCTTCTGGAGGGTTCGAAGGATCACTCAGCCCTCATGGAGAAAGCACGTCAGTATTATATTGGGCATATGCTAAAGGAAGACAGACATTCGGCGCCTGGAGATGTGGTCAAAAAACTACTCGGGACAGTCAAGGTGGATCACGCCCAGTGGAAGAAACGCGAAGCTCAGCTTCCTCCGCCCGACGGTAGGTAGCAGCACAAAAGACCTCATAGCGCCGAAGGACAATCACTTAGTTCATTGTAATTATTGCAGATGCGTTTCTGTCAATGTAACACGTAAAACTCGTTCGTTAGTTGCATCTTGTCGACTATTTCACATTTCATATGGTCATTCTGTCTTAATCTTCGTAAAATTATTCATCCTTTTAGTTCATCTTCGGTAAATATGTTCCACTTTAACGACATTCGTACAGAAATCTCCCTCTTTCCGAAGAATCTTGGACTAATTCGCCGTCTCTTCTCCCTCAGATGACTCCTGGCTGGAGGTGTCAGCCGACCAGCTGGAGCAGCTGCTGCAGCAGCAGTTTGATCTCCAGCATCAGCCGCCGCAGCAGGTGGCCGCCGAACTCCAGGAGTTTCTCAGCCAGCTCTCCGGGCTGGAGGGAGTCGAGAGCGACTCCGCTCCGGCCAGCAGGAAGAGCTCGCGCGCCCGCAAGGTGAGGAGAAAGACAGAGTAGAAGGGGCTGACGATTGAGGTTGTGTTGTAAAATCTCCTAATGGTAGTTGTGCTCTTATGGGGAAGCGATAATTTCCCATTTTTCTCACCATTGTTCATCGTATGATGAACACCTATTGATGCAAGCATCTATGCGAAGTGAGCAATGCCATTTGCCCCACACCCTCAGTGCTTACGAATTCTCTCCCTTTCACAGCCGAGTCGCAAGCTCTCCGCCGCCGTGATGCGCAAGATCTCCACTCTGAGTCAGGCCTCCACGGCCTCCGGCATGTCCACACTCAGCCAGAAGATCGACTTTAACGCCGACAGCTTCACCGACGTCGTGCGCGGAATGCTGGACCTTGGCCTGGACGACGACGACTGGAGTGACGACGACTCCTCCGGCATGTCCTCGTATGGCGACGAGGATGAGTCAGCCGAGCTGCAGGACATGCTGAAGGGCTCGGCAGCCGGAGGAGATATGAAGGAGATCATGGCGCAGATGGATGACGAGCTGCGTGATTCGACGCTGGCTGAGAGCTTCGTGCGGGCGACCAAGGCTGTGCGGAAAGAGGTACGTTGGAGACGGGGTTGTTGGAGAAAAGCGGGACGTGTCAGTCGTATGGGGGAGAGGGATGAGTGGCCAGGGGCTTGTATGTTGGGGTTGAAACGTTGTTTAGGTGGCAATGGGGAGTGGTGAATCAGATAGAGAAAACACGATGTAAGGGACGTAAACTCAGGGATGCTTTGCGGTACGGATGCAATATTCGTTCTAGTTCACGATGACTCAGCGTAAGAGTACGACCCATTTGAATGTTTTCACCGATTCATTTCCAACCCCATGTCTGTTCATTCTCTTAGCCATTCTCGAAACAAGTGTTTGACGTTATCGTCTCTTTCCATTGCAGTCGGGAGCTTCGGATGCCAGCCTGGACGACGTCGAGTCCTTCCAACCGGTGGACATTGACGTCAACACCGTACAGAACCTGCTGCAGTCCCTGCAGGGCCAGACCGCTTCGGCCGGCCCCGCCCAGACACTGCTGGACAACATCACCAAGGACAAGCAGAAGCAGTAGTCGCCTGGCGGAGCAGGAGCCTCCTCGACTTCACCCAGTAGCTGAAGATGAGGGCGAGGAGTGTATGGTTAGACCACCGCGGCTTTAGCTAGCTTGGCTTTGTCCTGTGGTGGTTAGACCACCCAACCAACCTACGACAACAGAGTATGTCCATATCATTGGAGTGATACGCACAAACTAAGCGCACTCCAAGTCGTCCTGTGACTGATCTTCGTTAGGGCATCGCCCTGACCTGAGACGTCCTTACACGACCTGACCTGACCTGCTACGATCTGCCATTGACCTGACATCCTCTGACTTGCCCCTGACCTTCCTATGTCCTTACCTTACCCCGACCTTACCTTGACCTGACCTGACTCGCTGTCAGGAACGGTCTGCTGCCCCAATCCGAAGAATCGCCGTCCTTGTCCGGGAGTCGTTGTTTCTCTGCTGCCTCGTGTCGATTTGGCCGCGCGTGTGAGAGGTTTTCACGGTTGTTCGTTCACCCAGTCATCATTCACCCGGCCCGCGGAACGCTCGTCGCCTCCGCAGCGCCATCTTTGTCTTGCCTTGCTGATGGGAGTATGCGAGTGAGAGAGGGTGAGAGCGAGCGAGAGCGCGAGGGAGAGTGAGAGATTTGGCGTCACTCAGTCGCCCGCACGCTGTACATAGATTTCGTCGCGAGCCAGTATTGTGAGGTATGCGGAGGGTTCGGAGGAGATTGTATACATGTATACATATATTTGTGATAATTGATACGATGACAGGCACCGCACACACTCGCAGGCTCGCACTCGCACCTAGCTGAGGCGGACGCTGCTTGTGTCCGGCCTGTTCCGTTTGTACATATACGCTTAGGTGGCTCACTGTAAGCTGGGACAATTGCGGACTGGTGCCGCGGTTGAACCAGAGAGGTTTCGGAATCGTGCTGATGTTATTTTTTCTTCCTGGATTGGAATTCTCACTTCTCAGCAGCACTGAAAGGTATCCGCTGGACCGGTCTTGAGTTTTTACTTTTTTACGCGATGTTTGTGCGCGCTGATGTTGCGTATCGTTGTAAATGCGTTGGCGATGGGGCGACCACAGCAAGAGGACGGTGGTCGCCCTCGGGGTTTGGCGCATGCGCAGATTGTTGATGCGGGATCTTGCGTGGTGGGAACGGGCATTTGCTTGTTGATTTATGACTTTGTGTGTGCCGCCGGCGAGTTGTCGCAAATGGCATGTGGTGAGAAGGGACGCTACCGGATGGACGAGTCCTTTCCTTGCCGAGGGTCCTCCCTCGGCGAGGTTCTGGACGAGTCCATTCCCTGACAAAGGGGAGGCAGTTGGGAGTGTTTCCCTGATCGAGAAGGCTCCGCTCACTCTGCCTGTGTAGTTTGTATTATTTATTTGTGATAATGAAATATATGTAACTGCACATAAGTAAATGTTTCTGTTGTACCGAAGTTAGAGCACGGATGGGACTGGAACAGATGTGTGACGAGTGACGACACAAATGGCGTGTGGTGAGAAGGAACGAATGGGCGAGTCCATTTCGTGCCGGGGAGGAACGGTGGTTTGGACGAGTCCAATCCGTGACCGGGGAAGGTAGTTGGAATAGACTCGTCCAAAAACCGAGATCTGACGCAATTTTGGGTTTGGACGAGTCCATTTCGTGACAAAGGGAAGGTAGTTGGAATGGACTCGTCCAAAAACGGGATCTGACGCGAATTTGGGCTTGGGCGAGTCCATTCTGTGAAAAAGGGAAGGTAGTTGGAATGGACTCGTCCGAAAACCGAGATCTGACGCAATTTTGGGTTTGGACGAGTCCACTTCGTCACAAAGGGAAGGTAGTTTGAATGGACTCGTCCAAAACCGACATCTGACGTGAAATTGGGTTTGGACGAGTCCATTCTGTGAAAAAGGGAAGGTAGTTGGAATGGACTCGTCCAAAAACCGGAAACTGACGCGAATTAGGGTTTGGACGAGTCCATTCCATGACAAAGGGAAGGTAGTTGGAATGGACTCGTCCAAAACCGATATCTGACGTGAAATTGGGTTTGGACGAGTCCATTCTGTGAAAAAGGGAGGGTAGTTGAAATGGACTCGTCCGAAAACCGTGATCTGACGCAATTTTGGGTTTGGACGAGTCCACTTCGTCACAAAGGGAATGTAGTTTGAATGGACTCGTCCAAAACCGACATCTGACGTGAAATTGGGTTTGGACGAGTTCATTCTGTGAAAAAGGGAAGGTAGTTGGAATGGACTCGTCCAAAAACCGAAAACTGACGCGAATTGGGGTTTGGACGAGTCCATTCCGTGACAAAGGGAAGGAAGGTAGTTGGAATGGACTCGTCCAAAAACCGAGATATGACGCAATTTTGGCCTTGGACGACATCATTTGGTGAAAAAGGGATGGTAGTTGGAATGGACTCATCCAAAAACGACATCTGACGTAAATCTGGCTTTGAACGAGTCCGTTTTTCTGATCCAGAAGACTCCAGTCTGTTCCGTTGTAGATTGCTTTATTTGTGAAAACTAAATATGTATTATTTCTGCACACATATTGAATAACAAGTGTGTAATTGTAGTTGCGCTTATCCATTTACAAAATACCTCAGGAAGTCTTCCCTGGACGGTCTTTCGAGCATTGTACAGCGCGGCGTGGCACGGTGATATTTGACAAACTACGAGACAACTTCGACTCGGCAAAAGCGAGGAAGAACCGATAACTTAAGCCATAAGAAATCGAAGAAAACGAAAAAGATTCTTCATGCAACACAAATCCACATCAGTAGCCGATAACAAAAGACGTGTGTACAAAACGGGTACCACTGCGCAGCAGGTCTATGCGCAATGTACGAACACGATACCTACGTCCTACAACCTGCTCCGTAAGCACAAAGAGGGATTCTTTAAGAGCTGATCCACATGAATGCATTACTAGACACAAACGTATGCTGGGTGTGAAGAAGACATTGCGGAGAAGCTGTATGCTATCACTTATCAGCCGTGCTTTCTAACGGGCCGAATTAACCACTTTCCATCCCATGGCTAAATCGAGCCTCATGTTAAACGATGCCATTCGCTTTTATACAGGACTGGCCAAAACCATTCACAGATGCCAACGTTCGACAAATTACACGTTCGATTACAGCTGTTCAAGTTGGTTTAAGCCTCATGTGGACATAGAAATCATCCCATCCCGTGAGTTCGTAGCGTCGAATAATTCCACTGCAAACGGTTACGGCGCTCACCTGACACAGTGCATTAATCAATAGCACAGTTTTAAACACACGAAATCCCGAACGAACATCCTGAAGAGAGAACACTGAGCAAACGCGAAAGCACCACAACTTCGTCGCATACCTATTCCGTCGCTCTATCTTCAGAGCTGTTCCCATATCACCTTTACATCATCATTTCATTAGCACCTTGTTTGTAGAATTTCAACCACCACTTTCCAATGTCGTCAGTAGGTACACATAGGTATAGACACCGAACCGAACATCCAACCTTGACCGCATCTCGAACCGTAGTTTACGAGTTACGAGTGAGTTTACGAGTTCTTCTGCGGGATGGCGGTGACGACCGTCTTGGTCTCGGTGTAGTTCTGAATGCCGTACGATCCCTTCTCTCTGCCGTGGCCAGACATCTTGTAGCCGCCGAAAGGCAGCTGAGACGAGAACACGTTGTACGAGTTGATCCTGTTGGAAGAAGAGAAAGACGTCAGGGTCACGCTGAGGTCATGGCGAAGTCAGAGATGGGGTTGAGGGGTAAGATACAGCACTAGTTTCTTCGTCAGTGACGAGATCATTTCTAAGATGACGTCAAACTAGGTGATTGTGGGGTCTTATAGTGGTCTGGTCGGGATCTAATCAGGAATGCAGGGGTAAGATCAAGAGCATGCTGATCCATCAGTCGCAAGGAGATACAGAATACGACGTCAATGTCACGGATACGCTTAACGTTAGCGCATCCCTAGACAGACTGCCGATTGATCCCTCTTCTCTCTAGAGTTAGAGCACTGGCTGCTACTGCAGCCTGGTGGCCCTACAGAATGAACTAGAAGTTATGAAGGGGACCCGCTAGGTGGCTCGGCTTCACAATGCGACGGTTGTGCGTCATTTGAACTCAAACTAAGATCCATAACACGACGGTACAGTTTTGGCAGGGCCTGGGCACCAGGTAACACCGTAAAGTTCGCCACGGCCAGGTCAAAAAGCCAGGTCAAAGCTAGGTCAGACCATGGTCCCCTCTTGGCTCAGACCAGGACAGGGCATCAAGTTACGATATCACTATCAGGTCGAACCGGGTCATGTCTGAAAATGGCTGGTCTCAGCTCCTACTCAGTACTAGTCATTCGTCACTCACCAGCTCCAGTCCCTATCCGGTCCCAGTCCATATCCCAGTACCTGTACCTGTATCAGTCCCAGTCCCTACTGCTGTCCCTTACTCATCACACGGTTGGGGCATTCCACGATAGATCGACCAAAAAAACTTAAAATTTACACCCGCATATTTTATTTTTGCTTAAAATTGGTCTAAAGGGTTGTGATGGGCGGGGAACCCAGCTGTGGCAAGGATTTTTTTCTTCGAACAACGGTTTCCAAGATATAGCCTCGGGCAGTTCCTGGAGGTCACGCTGCAACCCTATGTTTGGCGGCTTATAACTCAGAAACTATTGGTTTTCTATGGTAAAAACTTGATATGGTTCAACTCCTAATCAACCAACAAATGTTTTGGCTATCTCGGATTTTCGAATTTTGAAATTTTTGATCACGTGACATCTTGACCTTTTTTTCGAAGAATGACCTTGATATTTTCCCAACTGAAAGTCGCAATTTTGTCTGATGACGATTACAGCCTTATCAATTGTCATTCATATGAGATAATAAAAAAGTGGCTTTCGGCCTGCGTTGACCTCAGGTCAGGTCATTTTTATGACCTTCCCATTATTACGAGCGGGAGTGACAGCGAGATCTCGAGAACAAAGCAAGATAGCGACAAGCTGTAAACAGCACAGGGTACACATGGATAAGGTCTACAATTTTTACTCAGGTCATTTTCAGGTCAGGTCAAAGATGACGTCACAGGGGTAAAAAGAAAGTCTAAATGGCGGCACTACATATATATGAAGTTTTCTCGAATAACTTTCGAAGTATCCCAGCTAGGAACAAACTAATAGCACCATCGTGATCCTCTCGTCGATCCGCATCGAAACATGTGTATGTTGACCTCGAAAGGTCAAGGTCAAAAGTTGACCTTAGGTCACGTGACCTTAAGGTCATCATATATATATATATATATATATATATATATATATATATATATATATATATATATATATATATATATATATATATATATATATATATATATCATTCGATGGGCCTTGACGAGCTGAACACAATGAGCCTATCCGCGCGGCTGTATCTCAAACCTGTAAGGAGTTATTAGCAAAAAAAACATTTGGTGACCTTTAATGACGTCACATGACCCAAGAGCAACGTCACAGTTGACCAAGAGCAAAAAAGGTCTCAAGGTAGTCAAAGTTAGTCGCATATGGAGTCACTCATGGTATATTAGGCAATTCCGACGCGTTTTAGTGTAAAAATAAGGGAGCTGATTTTTCCCCAATTGACTTATAATGGGGTGGTCAAGAAATTGACCTAACCTCAGGTCATCGGTATCGAAATTCAAAACGAACTGGCGCTAGGCGAAAGCAAACGGATTGGTGCCTATTCTACGTCTCTTTCTTTATTAGATCAAAAGGTACAGCCAAAACTATTTTGATTTCCTTTTTACCCCTGTGACGTCATCTTTGACGTGACCTGAAAATGACCTCAGTGAAAATTGTAGACCTTATCCGTGTGAATCCTGTATCGTTTACCACTTGTCGCTATCTTGCTTTAGTCTTGAGATCTCGCTGTCGCTCCCGCTCGTAATAATGGACAGGTCATAAAAATGACCTGATCTCAGGTCAATGCAGGCCGAAAGCCACTTTTTTTATTGTCGCATATGAATGACAATTGATAAGGCTTTAATCGTCATCAGACAAAATTGCGACTTTCAGTTGGGAAAATATCAAGGTCACTCTTCGAAAAAAAGATCAAGATGTCACGTGATCAAAATTTTCAAAAATCGAAAATCCGAGATAGCCAAAACGTTCGCAGATTGATTGCAAGTTGAACCATATAAAGTTTTTACCATTGAAAACCAATAGTTTCTGAGTTATAAGCCGCCAAACATAGGGTTGCAGCGTGACCTCCAGGAATTGCCTGAGGCTATATCTCGGAAACCGGTGTTCGAAGAAAAAAATCCTTGGCACAGCTGGCTTCCCCGCCCATAACAACCCATTAGACCAATTTTAAGCAAAAAATAAAATATGAGGGTGTACGGCTTTGGTCGATCTATCGTGGAATGCCCCGGTTACTGCCTGCCGTCCCTGGGGCATACGGTCCCTGCCCCACCCCTGTTTAGCTCCTGTCTCACCCCACTCACTGACGGACGACCCCCTACCCACCAGACAGTGCCCGCTCGTAGTCCATGAGCAGCACGATATCTGTCCAGTCCCTGTCCTTGGTCCCTGCCCGGTACCCCTGATCCCTGCCTTTCTGCCCAGTATTAGCCTGCAGCCCCACTCAGACTCATGCCCGCAACAAGTCACTCACCACACGGTTCCCGCGCGCAGTCCCTGGGCATTGACCTCAGTCCCTGACCCTAGTCACTGTCTGATCACTGTCCAAGTGTCCCAGTCTCTCAACAGTCCCTCGCGCTGCCCTTCACTCACCACACGGTCCCCGCTCGGAGTCCCTGGGCAGTGCGGTTGGCCAGGTCCAGGTCTCGCGTGTACACGCCGGCCGCCAGCCCATACATGGAGTTGTTGGCTCGCTCGATCACCTCCTCAACAGAGGAGAACTTCATAATCTGCTGCACCGGACCGAATATCTGTGGAGGAAACACGAGTGGCAGGGGTTAGATATGGGGGTATAACAAGATCAAGAAACTCCTAGGGTGTCTTTACCTTGCTAAATTATCTTTTATCTACCTAAACTATCTTGCTGCATGGTGATAATACTGCACGGGTTGATACGACGGACTTATGTATGTTTGCTTAGAAAGGTTCGCAGAGTTCCCAGAAACTCTCATGTGTGTCTGATCATGTAATTATTCCGCTCTTCTTCGCTATGCGTAAACAAGACTACATAAAATGGCAGGTTGGTGGGCTTAAGTCGCTCTCTGGGCGAACTGAATGCTTTCGAAGTGTGTCTTTTTTGGTGTTTTTGATGAATATAAAATGCTCCTTACACTGTTTCTATACACTAACTGAAGATGAAGCACGCTATAACGATAAAATATAAAAAGCTGATTCCTTGGCCTACCGCCGTCTTGCCCTTGACAGCAAGTAGGTATGCAGCTGGCATCTGTTTATGCTAAACTGGTTATGGTGAAGCTACGATAAACAGATCTCAGTCATTGCTCGCGGCAAACAGTCAGCGTGCTTCAAACAGCAGCAAGATGAGACACAAATGTGGCTGGGTAGTGACGAGTGCCATACTGCCCCGAGAGCCACGTTTTTAGAAGCCCTTCCGATACATCCCACCCGCTAAAGATAATATCGTGCGCTTAGTCACATGATAGGAAAACACGATAGGAGAATCATTTAGACATTATTTACGCTAAATAATGAATTAACATATATCGTAAACACATTTACATGACTGCCCTCTTATGTGGGCTTAAGTGAGAAGCATCGTAAAATTCCTATTTCCCTTACACTTTGCTCAAGAACTTCAAACCTACGTAAATGCTCGTTACGTGTCATACACCTACCCTGCGCCCCTCTCCCACCCACCCCCCATAGCTAGTGGGAGCTGTAAGGAACTGTGGGTAATACGCACGCGAATCCGCCGCCTCAGCGCGTCGGCTTAGCTTTGGGTTCGCAACAGACGGCGGGGGTCAAGGTTACCTGCGCCGAGGTGGCGAATTTGCGATGCCCGAACACCCACAGTTCCTTATAATTATCCACTCCCTTCCCTGCCTAACCCTCTTACCTCTTCCGTGGCAATCCTCATGTTGTCCTGCACGTCAGTGAAGACAGTCGGCTCGATGAAGTAGCCCTTGTCGCCGATCCTGGCTCCACCGTGCGCCAGTTTCGCTCCCTCCTTCTTACCCGACTCGACCAGGCCGAGAATCTTGTTCATCTGGATCTCGCTGATCTGGGGGGGGGGGGAAGAGGGAGAAGAGTCAGAGGGCTCGAAAAAGTATCTGGTGACCTAGTGTAACAGCTTGACTAATTAGAACTTGCGTTACATAGTTACATGCCAAATCATGAAAAGCGCGATGACTTTAGTGAGCTGACAAGTGTTGAAAGCCTCAATCACGAAAAGCTCCCGATAAGCCCAAATCATTAAAATATTCTGTAGTTTTGTCGGTAATTCTTTACGCCCTCTTACAACAACAGAATCAATATGGCAACACAACTAGGTACTATTCAAATATCCATACGAAGTCCATCTACTTTGGAAACTCCCGATTCACACCTCCTCCCATTCGGTGAAGCATTGAGAGTAATACCCCGCAAATAGACACGCAAAGAATATCCCCCAAGCACTCTCACTCCCGCTCCAAGACCACCTGCCCCCCCGTTGGCACGCACCTGCGGTCCCTGTAGCGTGTTGGGGTCGAACGGGTCGCCCACGGTCCTCTGCCTGGCCTTCTCAATGCTCCTCTGCACGTACTCATCGTAGATGTCCTCGTGGACGAAAATACGAGAGCCGGCGCAGCAGCACTGGCCCTGTGGAGTGGAAGGGCTCAAAGGTTAGACACAGAGGTCAAGACAGAGGTCAGGGTCAAAGGTCCGAGGTCACGGGGCAGAGACCAGACTCATCAGTCGGATATGTATCCTCATTAATTCATGCATACTCTCATTTTAGAATTCTTATTAGTTACTTCGCAGTGTTATTATATCGGCAAAAATGCCGGTTAAATCGCAGAAAAGGTTTTTCTCCCTTTTTTATGAATATTTCTGAGAGAAAAAAAGTCGAATCAGAATGAAGTCAGTCGAATCAGAATCTGAATCAAGAAAACATGAAGCTATTAAATAATTTTCTTCTCTCACAACACAACCTCCTTCCCCAACCCATAAAGCATGAGCTTCCGCTCTTAGTGGTCCCTCATCCAGACCTTACCATGTTGAAGAAGAGGCCGAAGTGTCCTCCCTCCACCGCCTGCTCGAGGTCAGCGTCCTTGAAGATGATGTTGGGCGACTTTCCGCCCAGCTCCATCGTCACCCGCTTCAGGTTGGACTTGGCGGCCAGCTCGCTGACAATCTGACCGACCTGGGGTCAGAAGAACAGGACAGGTGAGAAGGGGTAAGGTAACACTGTAAGGCATTCTTGGGTAAGGTGTCTCAAGGCAGCGGTTAGAGCGAGGTATGGGGTGTTGGAGTGATGCGACCTCGTAACTACCACCAAATGGGCGTACTTCTATTCGGGCACATGTAAAATGTATTCTTCCAGCGAGGGAAGCAAGACGGAGAGCAGAAGATACGATTGGCAGATCGTTGTTGGTGATTATAACTTCATCTACGAATCTTAGAAGTTGGGTGTAAACGGCAGACTAACCCTCGCGGGCCCGGAGGGGGGGCGTTTTTCGCCCCCCCCCCTGGCGAATATTTGCGATAACTCCCGAACGCTTAGGGATAGGAAGGCGAAACTTTCAGTACCTTTTCTCCCATCAATTTGACATCTTCTGAAGTAAAAAATTTGGACCTAGCCCCCTTGATGACGTCACAAGGTCCATTTTTCTAGACCCCTGCACGGCAGACTTCGGCGTCACAGATGCAAACTTCAAATAGCTGCTAAAAATAGAGTTTTAGAGATAAAGACAAATTACGAGCACGGCTGTGTAGCGTTTGACCTAGAGAAAAATAGAAAAATAGTTTTGGTGACCTGAGGTCAGAGGTCAGGTCAACGACCCCGAAATGTGGTTTTAGTTTTTCGCAAATAACTTCGACTAAAATGGTCCTAGAGTTACGGCAGTGGTACCATCGCATTCGCCTTGTCAAGCCGCGTCGAATGATATATATTTTGTTCGGAAAAGGTCAAGTTTCATGTTGACCTCATGTGACCTCGAATGACCTCTGGTTGACCTTGACACATGAAAGGTCGATTATGATGGATTTTTACCCGCTGATCACGAATCTGGCATCTATTTTCCTCTAAGCCCTCATTTAGAGCTTCCGGATGGCAAAATTGTCTTATTTATTATTACTAACTTGAATCAGTGAAATAGCCTCTAGCAGGGATACTCTTCTGTGACCTTGACCTTTGAGCAGCCTTGTATCGTAAGATGAACCACAAATAGGGAACTGATAAGCCTCAAAACATTTCAAAACATCTTGGAAGTTAGCACGCAAGATGTGCGAAAAAGTGCCAAGTTTGAGGTCAATTTTGAGCGTGACCTTGACCTTGACCTTTGATTTGGAGCACATTTTCAGAATCCTCAGATTCTCTTCTTTCGTTTGATACCCAATTTTGCCGGTTTGATGCAGCCTGCCGTCCTCTAGAAGGCTTACTTTGAGATCACTACACATGTCCCGTTTTTGGCCTTTGACCTTGACCTCTGACCTTGAAAATTGACCTGAGGTCAAAAATTTTAGGTGCATTAGAATCGTCTCGTAAGGACCTTTCGTTTGGTATCGCTTTTGTTTCCGTAGCTCCCTTATTTACGGAGTTAGACAGGGGGGCGAAAAACGCCCCCCCCCCGGGCTGCGGTGGTTGGGATTACCCCCCGGGCCCGGCCGGGCTAAAGTATTTACTATGAAGCTATTTCCACACTTTCCCTTCCTCAGCCAACTAACCTCTGTCGAGCCGGTGAACGCCACCTTATCGACCCCCATATGGGAGGCCAGGGCCGCTCCAGCGGTGGGGCCGAACCCGGGCACGATGTTGACTACACCCGGTGGGAAGCCGGCCTCCTTTATCAGCTCGGCTACGTACAGACCCGTGAGGGGAGTCTCCTCGGCGAGCTTCATCACAACAGTGTTACCTGAGGGAGAACAGGTAGGGTACAAAAAGGACTTATCATTCAATTACGTGTAAAACAAGTCTTCTCAACTAATTCAGTTTTTTTCGGAAAGAAAAAGAAGAGAAAATAGTAAAAACGATGTGTATCGACTATCAACGCACGATGGCGGTCACTGCTTACCAGGGGAATGTTGTTAGCGGAGCGCCGCCAGAGTCAACATAAAGTTCTTGAAATAGGCACACTGTATTTTCACCGCTTGTGAGCACTCGGACACGAAAAACCGCACGACCGTCACGCTCCGGCTCCGTCCCCGAATGCCCGCCCTCCCGCCGGCCGCCGCAGTCAGCGGTCAGCCGGTGCCCCGCGGCGGTAACCTCCGCAGGGGCGAGGTCAGGCTCCGGCGGAGGGCAGGGCGCCCGCAGGGGCGAGGTCAGGTCAGCCCCGACTCGACTCGGACACCGCAGCGACGCGGTGTAACATAAACGCACATACGGGTACACTGCCCCCCTCTACACCAAGTCGTGCGGACAAACAAAACAACCAACAAAACTGGCGCGAGTGTCATATCATCTTGCGGAACTCGCCCAACCACACAAATCGCCACGAGAAGCGCAACAAAAGAAACACTTTTCATCCGCCATCGCAGTCAATGTACGGCATCATTAACAGAGCAACTTCACCCGTAGTAAAGAGAAACATTCAGACAAAGCTTCCATGTATGTATAACAACAGCAGCCGGGGCGGTCATCGGAACTAAGGGTTTTACGAACTTTACGAAGTTGGAGATGCCGAAGGACATGTTTCATCGGAACCCCCATCGCCAAGTGCCGCCGCCCGCCGTCCACGGTCACGCACGCGCCTCGACCGTCGGAAGAATGGGCTACTGTGCAATGGCCCCCTGCTCGCTCCATCTTCGTTCATCTCAAAACGCACCCGCTGACTTCTTCGCGATGAGGCGGGATCTCGAAGGCAGCTGCGTCGCAGAGTGGCAGGCTGCGTCCGATCGTGATGCTGAAGCATCGGCCGAGTAGCTGCACGAACAAGACGTTGTCCAGTCGGAGCCTCACCAACTCCAGTTGGAGTCAGAACTCCAGCACGAATTATCTGTGACGGATCCGGCTGGGAGCCCGACGCCACCGCTGGTCCTGCGGCAGTGATGACATCCTTCGAGGTACGGCGATGTAGCAGTTGCTTGAGGTAAGCCGGTGCATCATAGTAAGTACGGAGCTGTGAGTGATGAGCCCTCCGTTCAACACCATCATCCGTCTTCACGAGGTAAGTGACACCACTTTCAGCCACTTCAGATACAGTCAGTGGACCAATATAACGTGCTTCGAACTTGTTTTCGAGGCGATGTCCAGGTAGCTGGACCGTCTTTTTCACACGGTCTCCGATTCGGAATGGCTTAAACTTCGGATGGCCTGCCTTCCACACATCCTGCTCTTCATCAGAGGCGACACGCGACTCTGTGTCCGCATTTCTCGCATCAAGTAGGAGGGCCGCAGGTGACGTACCGATTTCTGCATGCTTGGTGTTGTTGTACGTTGTCATAGCCTTGGCGAGGTGCAGGTCCCAGTCACCAGCGGAATCCGTCAGTAAGCGAAGTGACTGACCAATCGTCCGGTTGCAACGCTCCACTGCACCGTTACCCTCGGGATGGTAAGGCGTGCTGTACACGTGCTGAATCTTCCAGTCACTCAGGACGGATTCAAATTCCATGCCACGAAACTCCGGACCATTATCAGACAGCACCCGCTGAGGAACCTTCAGAAGAGCTGGCAGAACACGATGATGAAACGCACGTGCCACCGCTGCTGCTGATTTGGATCGCAAAGGCACTGCCACTGCCCACTTGGAACAGTGGTCCACCGCCACCAGACATCCCAGGTGACCTCTTCCTGAGCGAGGGAACATGACGACATCGACTGCCACCAACTCAAATGGCGACTGACACTCTATCTTCTTCACGGGAGGAGGGTGTAATTGAGGCGATGGTTTGTAAAGCTGACAGCGCTGGCAGGTCCGTACAATGTCTGAGATCACCAACTGAAGTCCAGGCGCGAAGAGCCGTTGACCGAAAAGATCGAGCAGCTTGTCTCTTCCGATGTGTGCCATATCTTCATGCGCGTGAAACACCAACTCGACCAGCCATGATCGCGTGATAACCGGCAATGGACCATTGTCCGGGTGGTCGAAGACAAGTAAATCATCCCTCAGCTGCAAATGATCCATGTGCTTCTTGAAACATTTCAGGCTCTCAGGCAGACGACCAGGCGGGGTTGTCTGTTCGACATGCGTCTTCAACTCCTTCAGCTGGTCACTGGAGGCCTGATGCTCCCGAATCGACGATGTAGTAGGGACTCCCATGTCAACAGTGTAGCTGACAGCGGCAGCCCTCTGAGCGTCAGGATCGGCGAACATGCTTACTTCACTCCCACCCAGTCGAATTTGAAGACTCGCGAAATCTAGGCAGATGCCGACAGTCCGAATGAAGTCAGCACCGAGGAGTAGACAATGGCCGAAGGAATCGGCCTCGTCAACGAGGAGAACCATGGCCACTGGAGCATGTGACGACATACCGACTTGTGCGTGGATGAGCCTCTCGCACCGTGCTTGCCCACACAGGCCTATGATGGGTATGCTAACTCTCTGGATGGCGATGCCAGGATCATGAGATGAAATGAGCCGCAATGCACTGGCACTTATCATGCCGATGGCCGCACCGGTATCCAGTAATCCACACAGCGGCACCCCATTGCAGAACGCTGTGATGGTACACTGAGTGTGCTGGTCATGGTCGCAGCTTGGCTTCAACTTCTTGCAGGACGAGTTGGAGGACGTCGTGTCATCAACCTGAGATGCCGTGACTGGTGTCTCCTCCACACTCCTTGCAGAGACTCGACAACTCGCAACGCTCGCAGCGGTCAGTTGCGTTTTGTCGGTCTCCAGGTACGACTGAAGGAGATTGAAGTGAATGCCCCCAAGGCATTGTAGGTGCAGGATGTCATTCGCTGAACGACAGTCATCAGTGAAGGTCATCGGGTTAGTTGGGCCAAAATGAACGACAATTTTTTACTTTGTACATGGCTGCTGCCACGGTGAGCATATCCATCGCCAGAGGTTGTCCTGAAAACCGCATCAGCCTCAGAGACTGTCGAGATAACCGATCGAGCCGGAAGCCATACTTAGCGGGGCTCCGAAGGGCCTCATCTACCAGCCTCCGGCGAATGTCCCCACCGTCTGCAGGGAACCCATCTCTCTCAGTCATCCAGTGTCGAAGACAATCCACCAGAGAGTTTCCACCGCCTTCAGGACGGTACCGAAGACGAAGACCGTCTGGCAGTTCTTCGTTCTGGTAGGTCCCAGCGGCTGTTGCTGAGGGCACTTGCATCCGTGACAGGAGATCTGCGGCGAAGTTTGATTGTCCAGGGACGTAGATAATTTCGTAGTTGTAATCAGCAAGTTCTTCCACGGTGCGGGCAAGACGATGGTTGACGAGCCGCATGTTGTGGAGGTACATCAGTGCCTGGTGGTCAGTGTAGATTTTAAAATGAACAGCACACAAGAATGAGTGGAATGTCTTGACTCCCCAGCGAAGAGCAGCAAGCTCACGACCAGTTACTGAGTAGTTCTTTTGCGCGCTGGTGAAGGTCATCGAGGCAAAAGCAATGAATCTGGGCTGTCCGTCCTGCTCTTGAGTTAAGCACGCTCCAGCACCGATAGCAGAGGCATCCACCCACAGACAGAGAGGACTTGCATCAGGTCTGTAATCGGGGAACGCGAGTGTTATATCAGCTTGCATGTCGGACTTCAGCTGTTCGAATGACTCAATCATCTCATCAGTCCAGGTCAGAACAGTCTTTGCAGGTAAGCCTGTCAGTGCAGACAGAGGTTTGGCGATTGTAGAGCAGTCCTTTACGAACTTCCGCTGGTAATTCACTATTCCCAAGAACTGTCGCAGCTGGTGAACCGTTCGCGGTTTATCCAGTCGCTGGATCTGGTCCACGTACTCCGGTGACTTCCGAAGACCCGATGAACTAATGATGTGTCCCAAGAACTTCACTTCTGGTTGAAACCAAGTACACTTGCGTCCGTTCAGCTTGATTCCCTGGGATTCGAGCGCCGTAAGAACATCGTCGACCAGCTGCACATGCTTTTCAAACGTAGTCTCCTTCAGAAGAATATCATCTAGATATACGACAAGCTTCTCACGTGCAAATCCGTGAAGAATCGTCTGCATTTCCTTTTGAAATTGTGCTGGGGCATTCTTTAATCCGAAAGGAAGGCGTCGAAACCTCCAATGGGCCCTGGGTGTGCTGAATGCAGTGTAGTCACGTGACTCTTCCTCCAGAGGGAGGTGATAATATGCCTTGGAGATGTCCAGTGCACTGAACCACTGCACTCCGTGATGAGTCCCAAAAACAGTATCGTTGACCTCTGGCATGGGAAATCTGGTTGTTACAGTCTTCTGGTTTAGCCGGCGATAGTCAATGCACAGTCGCAATGTGCCATCCTTTTTTCGGATTGGGACGATGGGAGCATTCCAAGAAGATTCACATCGCTCAATGATGCCGAGACGCTCCAAGTCTAGACACTGACGCTCGACTTCGTCCGCAACTGGGGCAGACATCTTCCGTGGTCTGATGTAAATGGGCGTATCATCAGTCAACTCAATACGATGTGGTGTCATCAACGACTGGAGCGCATCCGCATCCGAGCGCATGAACACTGTTGAGTGACGTTCGAAGATCTCCTGTACCGCCGCTCGCTGATCTTCAGAGAGACCCGGTATGTCGGAGGCCGAGGGACAGGAACCATCGGGCTCGATCCCGTCTGTGGATGCTGTAGAAGAGTACACTTGCACGCTTCCCTCCACGTCCAGGGCGCTGTCCGCGGCGGAGGCCAGGTAACCGAGAATAGAACCCTTACGCACTGATTCTGAAGCCATTCCCCGGTTGGATACGAGGACACGCGGGTTGGTTGGATCAAAGATACCAGAGACGAACTCAAGGTCACTTGACGCGTCCACACGACCAGCAAAGACAAGAGGACGGGAATTGACCTCGCATGAGTTACACGCAGCAGGGAGGACGGCTGAACAGCCTAGTACGGCCGTGTCTCGCTTCGTCACTCGGGTTTCTCGTACCGCCACACACGGTACATCAGTCATGAACAATACACAAGACTCCTTCTTTCCGAGTGGTAAGTATAGTGTCCATCGAGATCGATCCACACTTTTCGAACACACTCACACAAACATAGGGCTGATCACGCCTAATTCCGTCGTAATTTGGTTCATACCACTGTCACAGACCGCAAAATATGGTGAAATATTTCAACCATACAAATGAATCAGTTTGCACGCGGTCTAGATGCAGTAATGCACAAAAGTTCGCGCCCTGCAATCGGTACCAGGTACTCACCGGTGCGGCAGATTTGAGCACTCACGCCAAGTAGAGTCGCCAGATTCGGTCGGCACAAGTACGGCTGGTGCAGGTACGGTCAGCGGGCGAGTCAGGTGCAGTCCGTGTAGACACGGATACCGGCGGCAGGCACGGTCCGCGTCGAGACGGGCACCGGCGGCAGGCACGGTCCGTGTCGACACAGGCACCGGCGGTAGGCACGGTCGTGTAGAGACGGACTCCGGCGGCAGGCACGGTCCGTGTCGACACAGGCACCGGCGACAGGCACGGCTCACGTCGAGACAGGAACGCTCGAGAAAAGACGGGCACCGGCGGCAGGCACGGTCCGCGTCGAGACCGGCACCGGCGGCAGGCACGGTCCGCGTCGAGACAGGCACGGTCGTGTAGAGACGGGCACTGGCGGTAGGCACGGTCCGCGTCGAGACCGGCACCGGCGGCAGGCACGGTCCGCGTTGAGACAGGCACGGTCGTGTAGAGACGGGCACTGGCGGCAGGCACGGTCCGCGTCGAGACAGGCACCGGCACGGTCGTGTAGAGACGGACTCCGGCGGCAGGTACGGTCCGTGTCGACACAGGCACCGGCGACAGGCACGGCTCACGTCGAGACAGGAACGCTCGAGAAAAGACGGGCACCGGCGGCAGGCACGGTCCGTGTCGAGACTCCGGCGGCAGGCACGGTCCGTTTCGAGACAGGCACCAGCGGCACGGCAGGCACCGACTACAGGCACGGCTGGTGCAGCGCAGAGACAGCCATCACCGGCACCGTGCGGTGCTGATAGTCACTTTGAATTAGTCACTGATAATTGTTACTGAATCACTGGCGCTATCAAAATCGCATAGGACGAGCCCCCAATGTTAGCGGAGCGCCGCCAGAGTCAACATAAAGTTCTTGAAATAGGCACACTGTATTTTCACCGCTTGTGAGCACTCGGACACGAAAAACCGCACGACCGTCACGCTCCGGCTCCGTCCCCGAATGCCCGCCCTCCCGCCGGCCGCCGCAGTCAGCGGTCAGCCGGTGCCTCCGCAGGGGCGAGGTCAGGCTCCGGCGGAGGGCAGGGCGCCCGCAGGGGCGAGGTCAGGTCAGCCCCGACTCGACTCGGACACCGCAGCGACGCGGTGTAACATAAACGCACATACGGGTACAAAGAAAAATCGATTACAATTACAAAGAAAATCGGTTACAAAATAAGAGGGAGAATGAAGCACAGCTCACGGAACGAAGAGTCGCAAATCTACGGTGAGCGAGAACGAGATATTTAGACAGCGAGAGTGAAAGGCATATAAAGAAAGAGGGCTTGTGAGAGAGAGCGAGAGAGCGAGAGAGCGAAAGAGTGAAAGAGAGAGAGAGAGAGAGAGAGAGAGAGACAGAGACAGAGACAGAGACAGAGACAGAGACAGAGACAGAGACAGAGACAGAGACAGAGACAGAGACAGAGACAGAGACAGAGACAGAGACAGAGCGAGACAGCGGGAGAAAGAGGGGGTACGTACCGGCGGCGAGAGCGGGCCCCAGTTTCCAGGCCTGCATCAGCAGGGGGAAGTTCCAGGGGATGATCTGAGCGCAGACACCCACCGGCTCGTGACGCGTGTAGCTAGGGGGTAGAAAGAACGGGTCATGAGTCAATTCAGGTCAGGTCAGGTAAGGTAAGGTCAGAGCCTCAGAGGCCAAGGTCAGGTAAGGTCAAAGGCAATGGGACAAACTGGTCACTCACTCACTCTGCTTCTTGAAATGTATGCATGTATGATGTTCTTGTTCACGTTTCGACAGCTCTTGCAAATTTACTTCAACAACTTCCCTCTTCAGCCCCCCGCCTTTACCGTCCCCGAATCTCCTCCCCTCTAACCGCCCCTGCCCTCCAACTTTCCTCCCCTGAATCCGCACCTGCCTTCTATATCTCCACCCCTGACACCGCCTTTGCCTCCCCAATCCCCTTCACTGACACCTCCCCTGTCTCCCCAATTCCCTTCCCTGAAACCGCCTCTGCCTCCCCAATCCCCGCCCCTGACGCCGCCCCTGCGGTGACCCCGCCGCTGACCTGAAGTTATTGCCGTCGGCGGGGATGACCTCTCCGGTGATTTTGTCCGCCCAGCCGGCGTAGTAGCGGTAGTGTCCGGCGCTCAGTGCTGTGTCGGCCAGGTAGGACATGTTGTACGGCTTGCCGTTGTCCAGCGTCTCCAGACTCTGAGGAGGGGTCAGAGAGGTCAAAACTCAGGAGGTCATGTGGGGTCGGGGCAGTCAGGTCAAACAAGTTTAAATATACCATCGGCGATTATGAACGTTGTGTCGGTCATACGAAACTTGTATATCGATTTTACTCGTAGTAGCGAGTAAGCGAAATCAAGATCGGGATACATTTACTCGGATAATAAAACGTTTGAAGCGATCGTAACCAAGCTGACTTTTTTGCGAAGATATGGCGACCTTGTTTAACTATTTGTTTTTGTTTACCTATTTGCCTTGATCACAAATAAATTATCCACAAAAGAAGCTGCTATTTTTTTTTTAATATTGTCTCTGGCCGTCTTCTACGGACCAGTGGCATTGCGCTCCATAATATGCCAGCCAGGTCTTCCTCCCTTCTTCCCCCTCTACCCACCGCCAGGTAGGTCTGATCGCGTTCAATCAGATCCGCCAGCTTGAGGAGCAGTCGGCCACGTTCTGAGGCGTCCATGGTCCGCCATGGGGAGCCCAGACGGAACGCCTCCTGGGCAGCTTTCACCGCCTTCTCGACATCAGCCTGTGGAGAAGGTAAGACAAGAGGGGTCAGAACGTCTCCTGGGTGCCCTTCACCGCCTTCTCGACACACCCTGTGGAGAAGAGTAGGACAAGAGGGGTTAGAACGCCTCCTAAGCAGCCTGTCTCGACATCAGCCTGTCAAAAGATGGAGCGGGTATTTAAATAGTTCCTGGGCAGCCTCGATATCAGCCTGCGAGAAGGGGTGCATCATATCGCATTCGTTTTAGCAATACAACTAGACTCACTCGTCTTACTGTCTCGCCTTTGTCTCATATGTCTCCTTTTGTCTTTCATTTCTCAACGTCTCTTTCTTATCCCCTTTGTGTCTCATGTCTCAACGTCTCCCTTTGTCTCGAGTTTTCATGTCTCCCTTTATGTATATCTCGTATCTCCATGTTATGTTACTCTCCTTCATCTCTCGTGTCTCCATGTCTCTCCCCTTAATCACTCGTGTCTCAACTTGTCTCCTCGTTTGTCTCTCGCGTGTCTCACCTTGTCTCCCTCCTGGACGTCGGCGATTGGCTCGCCAGTCCGCGGGTCCAGGGTCTGGAACGTCTTTCCCGAAACAGACTTGTGCCACTCATTGTTGATGAAGATCTGAAACGAATAGAATGCTTGGTTTAGACCTCGGAATAGAATGCTGGTTGGTTTCTTTCGGATTTCTTTTCAGAAGTTGGTAATTTTTCTCTGGACACTATGCATAAAGCCGGCCGTAAAGAAAAATGATCGGTTTGAAACGATGATTGACGATAAAATTTCGTATGACTTTCGGGACGAGTAAGGAATGAACAGGACGTCACAACCCGTGATAGCTTTAGCAATGTACCTTCTGACTTCTTACCGCCACGAATCTTACCGTCTGAGCGCCTATCCTACCGTCGATAGGAATGGATGGCAATGAGCAAATACCGAATAATCTGCATGCCAGCTTTGCACACTTGGCTTTCGCAACAGTCATCCTGACTCATGGTGTAGCTCATAAGCCGCTAAAGAATGTCGAGTCAGGGTGTCTGCCAGACTTGTGTAGTATGTGTCATTGTGTACGCAATTCAAGGGAGCCGGAAGACGCGATAGCGGGGGCAAGGCAAGGTGACATTGCTTATCAGGTCGGGGAGCAGTAGGTACTTATACAAGTGAGCCTCGGTGAGAGGTAAAAGAAGATGAAGTGCAGAGAGTAACTATATACCTGTAAAAGAAACGGAGGCTAGACAGGGAAGATGGATGATGATAGAAGCTGTGGCAAGAGGAGAGAGAACAGATGAGAGAGGGAGGGAGAGGGAGAGGGAGAGAGGGAGTGAGAGGGAGAGAGAGAGGGAGAGAGAGAAAGAGAGAGAGAGAGAGAGAGAGAGAGGAAGAGGAAGAAGAAGAGGAAGAGAAAGAGACAGAGACAGAGAGAAATGTGAAATGGAAAACGGGAGAGGCACGATTCTCTTTCACTAGGGAGTAGGTATTTTCACAAGCAGTAGTGTCATGTGGCCATGGAAAGTTGGAGCCAGCCGCCCGTATAATAATATTTGTGCAGGAAATTCCAGCACGTCCGCTAGAGTGGCAGATATACAATGAATTGAATCGCCGGACTCCTCAGAGATGGTGTTGCAAGCTTGCTGCTAAGGCATGAATCAGCAGTAGGTAGGCTGGCACTGCCGGATATTGTTCTAAGCTCAGAGATGACATTAAAAATAATGCAGTACCTAATACAAATCTGATTTCTTGTCAATTTTATTTATTCTTTATTATTTACTATAAAGCCATATTTTCTAAATACCTTGATGTTTTATATTTCTAAGCCCCCTGATTGCAAATCCCTCGATTTGCCCTTGCGCTGGTACACGTGACACTTGCTCTTCAAATGACACGTGCCGGACATTCAGCAGGTCCGTCAAACACATCGTCTGTCCACATACGTGACGCCAAGCTCCCGCGAGGGATCTAACAGAGCAATATCACGTGATGCATTGGAAACCCCGAGCCGTCGCCCTACCACAGCCCCCGGGAAAATCCGTATCAGTTTTACATCAACACATGAGTCAGTCCATTTATCCATCCGGCTTACCATTGGATCTGCAGCTGATGAAATGGGGCGGGGAAGGGGGAGGGGGGGGGGGCACAGCGAGGTGATTGCTGCTGAGTGTCAGTGTTTGCTTCATTGCTGTTTATCATTCAGAGATGCACCATTAGCAGCTGGGGCATTCCACGATAGATCGTAGGTACCACTTTTTTCCAATTTGACACCCTCATCTCTCGGATTTTAACGATAATTGGTCTAAGGGGTAATCAGGGGCTCTGAATCCTCCTGTAACAATTTCAGGCTTATCAGATGAGTGGTTTTTGAGTTATAGTATATAACATGTTTTGGATCTTGCGTTGCAGCCCCAAGTTTGGCGGGCTGTAACTCTAAGATGGATAATCCAAATGCCAAATGCTATACGGCATTGAGCTCGCATTGAAACAAAGAATAATATGCATTTTTAAAATTTTGAAATATATACTATTTTTGATATAAAACACCTCGAGTTTCCTTTCATTTGCATTTTTATGCCTTTGGGACCAAATTTTTTTGAATTTTTATTTACTTAAAAACATTTTTGGATCATTTTTAAGTAGTATGCAAAAATTAGGAAGGTGTTCTTTCTATAAATGTACATATTTTGCGTCACCGTAATGGTCTCGAATTGTGATTTCGGAAGAGAGCCTACAAATGGTGTGGTAAAGCAACCTAGTGACATTACTGGTTACTGAAAGTTCAATTGAAGTCATTTTTGCCTCACTTTTGCATTGTTGACCTTGCGTGACGTCATTCGTACGTCACTAGGGTCATAAGAGTTTTTCGTCAATAACTCTCGATCAAATTGAGCTAGAGAGACGGGAAGGCTACCACTGGACTCGGGAAGACCTTGCGAATCGAATGATGTGCAAAATGATCTCATTCACCCAGCTTCGTGGCCTGACCTGACTGTTAACCATCTCTGTAGCGGCGCTGTTTGTCCAGCGCACACTGGTCGGAAACGCCCTCACGAGAGGCCACGGGCGATTCCGGAGTTTCGGATTATTTTTTATATAGATCGATTTGAAATTGATCAAATTATTATACTTAGGCCAAAAAAACTAATCCGGTAGACCAAAAATAGCTGTAATCAGCCCCCGAAGATGGGGTATCCCAGAACTCGGAAACTGACGCGGAGCAAGAGGTTTCTTGAGCCGGATATTCAGAGTCTTATTGCTGATAGACACCTAATTGAAATCCCACATATTATGCATCAAAATGTTCGTTATGAAGTTGCCGACTGGTCAGTGCAAAATTTTTGGCATACTTTTTCCCTAACTAAGATGTACTATAGCTTTTTTATGAAGGCTCTCCTACAGTGATTCTGGAATATAGCTGCAAAGTTTAGGTAAGGAAACAACAGGTAGTCCCATCTAGTTCCACTCTGATTTTTTGTGAGATGAAGTAGGATTTAAATTTACACCAGGGCAACATAAAAGCTAACTGCGCATATTTGCGCAAAATTTGCAGGAGCCGCTCTTCCTAATCCTACCCAACTACCGCCCGCCCCGCCCCAGTTTCGGCTCGGCCGCCGCGCCCGGCTTACGCTGACCTGTGCGGCCTGCACGCATCCATGCGTAGTTGACTGGTCATTAAAAACAGATGCGCTTGAGTTTATGAATTTTGTGAAAAGCTCGTTTTATGTATGCATTTATGTATGTACTGACATCAAAAGCCTTCCACATATTGCGTGGCGATTACGGCTTGCATTTAGAGAGCCTTGCTATTGACAACCATCACTCGGCTGAAGAAAGTGGGAATTGAAACCTTCGTGAATATAAGACGCTGCAAATATAGGACACCTGTCACTGACGTCGGGTTACCTTGGGCCGTCTTTTTACATTAGATCACAATTCCGGTATTTAACCCTGGCCGGACCGATTGGTTTTCTACATTGACCGGGGAGGGTTGGTACAACTCCCTCGCCGTTTCGCCTCTAATTGAGCTAGAGCCTCGCGGAAAAAAACAAGCTTGTGTGCCGTTATAAGACACAAAAATTAGGTACTACCCGATTTTAAGGTCTTAGGTCGGCCAGTGACCTCTTAGGTCAGGTAAGTGCCACAAGGCACGGGCTCGGTTTTAGGTTAATTTCTTTGCCAAAAATGGTCGCACTGCCGCGATTTTGGCATAATCGTGTTTGTCTAGCTCAGGCGCGTTGAATGCTGTACTTGGTGTTCGGGAGAAGTCAACTTAACCCTCGCCGGCACAGGCCATTTTGCGTCCTTCGACGGCACAAGGGGGGGGGGGGAGATTATTTTTGGTACGACCCCCCCTCGCGTTTGGCCCCTGATCGAGCTAGAGCCTCGAGGAAAAAACGAGCGTGTTGCCCGTCACGAGAGGAAGCCGATAATACCCAATTTTAAGGTCCTAGGTCATCGGGTGACCTTCCAGGTCAGGTCAATGACCCGAAGTCGGGAAAATCGGGACCTGTTAGAAAGTCGTAAATTGTGGCTGCTATGTGGTTTTCCGGGGTGCTGATCACGAATATCGTATTAGTTTTGATCAGAGATGATGTCTTTAAGCATTTAGACCAGGTCGGGTCAGGTCAGGTCAGGTCAGGTCAACCGGTAGGGGTTGTGACGGGTATTCGTAATACGTGTCAACCGCCTCTGACAGCTTCGTAACATGTTACGAAGGCGCCAAAACTACTTCGTAAATGTTCAAATGGTTGCTAAATTAGAATTCAGCTCCAAAAACTAGACTAGAAACATGTAAAACTCGAAAAAGTGAACCGAGGTCACCCGAGGTCACCAAAGGTCAATGACCTGACCTGACCTTCAGGTGACCTTGACACCCATCCTAATGTATGGGAGCAACATCAAATCACATGTTTGAACGTTTGAAACCACGAAAAGCTTGCAAACGCGCGGCTAATGCGAGCCGACATACGCCGAATCGCGATTTCGGCCAAACATGGTCACGGAAAAGAGGTCACAGGTCAAAGGTCATTGGGGTCAGGGTCATGAAATTTTCAGGGTAGGTGTAAAATTGATCAATGCGAGGGTACTGAAAGTTTCGTCGCGATCAGTCGCTTTTTACGCGAGTTATTCGCAAAATTCAAGGTAGGTACGTTTTTCGGCTACTAGTCGTTTATTGTTTTCGTTTCCGAAAACAATAAACGGCTGCCTAGTAGCCGAAAAACGTACCTACCTTGAATTAAGATGTCTAGTCGTAAAAGCTTGAAATCATATATTATTCGCGAAAAACCTTAGGGGGGGGGGGGGTTGCATCAACCTGTGCCGGCGAGGGTTAAGGTGTTAACCTCGGGTCAAGGTCAGGTCGGAGCCCTCAGGTCACGAAAATGGTTGAAGGAGGTCATATCGCATATCATTCGATTCGGCAGGTCTTCCTGAGTCCAATGGTGGCTTTCCCGAATCTCTAGCTCCATCTGATCAGGAGTTATTGACAAAAATCTTACATGGCCTTAGTGACGTCATAAATGACGTCACGCAAAGTCAACAATGCTAAAGTCAAGGACTGAACCTTGCAAGGAGTGCATGAAACCATTCCCGGTGCCCGAATAGCAGCTCCCAATTTCCCTTGTTGACTTAAA